AAAAATTCCCCTTTTAAAAAAATCCCCTTTTAAAAAATTCCCCTTTTAAAAAATTCCCCTTTAAAATTTAGCAATGTCTACAAATTTATTTTTTTCTAATAAACTAACGTCCTCTTAATTTTTATATATTCTTAAAAGATCCAATATCTAAAATAAATAATACTTTTAAAAAGCACATGCCAACGTACCGAATTTAAGTAATATCAAACATGGGCAGTATCAAATGTGGTCACCTGTTTTCATCCCTTATAATTTATTTTCAAAAAAAGAGTACCTATTTGTTGAAAGTTTTGGACTCTTCTTTTTGTTGAAAAAAAATGAAAAGGGCTGAAAAATCTCATGACAAGTGACCACATTTGATACTGTCCACATTTGATGCTATCCAAATTTGGTGCGTTACTCTAACTAAAATTATGAACTTTATGCCAACCTGATCCCTTCTAATTAAATGTTAATTTCGATTTTTTTATGAAATTTCTTTTAATTTTCAGTTCGAATCTTACCTATGTCATCTTGGAAGCAGAGCTAAGTGTTGCAAATTCCAATTATATTTACTAATAAAGACTCCGGAAGAAGAGATTATAAGTGGCCAAGGCGATGGCGTATATTGGTCAATTCAGAAATGGCCTCATCTAAAATGCACCTGTAGTGTCATCTTGGAAAGTGTAGATAATGTAGATAATGTAGATAAAGGTAGTGTAAAATTGAACTTCTCCTCTCCTTGTGTTCGTCCATAGCAATCAGCTGCTCTTCTTTACGATTTATGATATGGATGCAATAGTGTTTTCACCATGACGTCAGGCCTGAACAAAAGCATGACGACATGGCGTCGGATAAAAAAAAGAAGAAAAAAGCGCATGTGTTCAACAATTTTTAACAACTTACAGTGACCTTAGAAAATATCTATTAAGCTTGTTTCACATGTGTACTATAATTTTTTGGAACTTTCACTGAAAGTTGATAAAAATTAATTGATTTCTTCTCTGATTGGAAAATAAAAAAAAAAAAAAACCAAAACAGAATTCATTGTTTTTACTCGATCTACGATTATGAAACAGAAATTAGCTGCTGACAATTTCTCTTTTAGAAATTGTTCCTTCAAATGGTCGAGTAAAGTAACGTATTTAGGAGTTGACTTAGATCAACGCTTGTCATTTAAAACTCATATTGAAAGAGTCGTAAACAGAGCTCGTTCGGTGGTATCCTCTCTTTATTGCCTTTTCCGTAAAAATAATTCTGTGTCTTTTCATGCCAAATTGACTGCTTACAAGACTCTCATTAAGCCGATCATGACTTATGCTTGTCCCATATTTAGTAATTGTCCGGTGATTCACTTCAAAAAATTACAAATACAGCAAAACCAGATGTTGAGAATGGTGCTTAATGCACCATTTTTCACTCGAACGACGGACTTACACGAACAAGCTAATGACATACCGACAGTCCGGCAATTTGTGGACAAGCTGACAAGACAATTTTACAGCAGAGCTTCTAGTCATGACAATAAGTTAGTCAAAAATTTAGGAAAATATGACATTCACAACATGGGATTCAGGGTGAAACATCGCCTTCCAAAAAATTTCTAGTCGATGTGTCTTGCATTATTTCTATTTTTACTTTTTTTACTGTTTAAAGTTTAATTTGTTTTTTTTAGCTTAGTTTAGGTTTAGAATTAGGTTTAAGTTTGTATTAGATGTTAGTTTATTATCTACGCAAGTATTAGTAAGGTTTTTCAGAATTTTCCTTACATTGCATCATTTTCGCAAGACACATCAGAGATTTCCAGTGTTAAGTTAGGTTTAAAATCGTTAGATTAATACCTAGTCATTCCATTTTGTGATATGCAGAGGCATAATCAAGCAAGGCAATAAATCGAGATTTTTAAAACTAAAACTGATAAAAATTATGGAACACAAGGAATAATAAAGCGCTTTTAGTAAATTTTTCTTTAAAAGTCTTTGAACATGACTTGAAAACACGCAGACATGACTGGCAGTCATTTTTCAATAGACGATGTCTTTGGCTGTGTGTTTCGAACACATTTTCTTGACGTCTTTGTTTTTGAGTTTTGCTAGACATTTTTCGATGTCTGTGCACAACCCTGACTGATATGTATATTAAGTTGAGTTTCTTTTTTAAATCTTTTTAGAACCACCCAAACAAAAAAAAGACAATGTGCTGAGGGATTTAACCAATGTACAACAAATTCGAGTTGGGCCTGTGGATTCTCTCATAATGTTAAAGGAAGAAAATGCTGCACTTGCCAGTGCTTTAAACAAAGAGCGAGAAGAGCACGAGGCTTTAAAAATTAAAACAGCGGAGATGGAGGAAAAACTACAAGGAATCCACAAAGAGCGGGCCCGTTTGCTAAATACAGTGCTAGACCTGAAAGGAAATATAAGAATTTTCGCTCGTGTTCGTCCTCCAATGAGTGACGAAAATGATAAAATAATTTGTGATTGGTCATTCATTGACGAAACAACACTTAAAATCGTTAGTAAAGAAATAATTATTTTATATCGAAATCACGTAAAAAGGATAGTATAACTAAACACAGCACGAACACAACACTTTTATCACTTTTTACACGTTAAAAACTTACATTTAATGTACATTTCGATAGCCGTCGAGCTATGTAAGTTTTTAACGTGTAAAAAGTGATAAAAGTGTTGTGTTCGTTCTGTGTTTAGTTATAGTAAAGAAATAGTTTAGTTTTTATTGTCGATACGAATTCAATCGGAGTTCGCTTCTCATTAATTGAAGCGAAAAAAGTCTTTCTCCAAATTGTGTGTTCATTTCTTTGTGTGTCCTTTTGGAATCAAGTTTGCATTAAAAAATTAAAAATTAATAAATTTAGTTCAATTTTTAACTTCTGA